TGCGAGCTCGGGATGGATGAAGTTGGATTCTTGGGGCATATCGTGGGCAATGGAAAATTTGGATGAAGCCGGGAAAGATCAAGGCGATCGTGGAATGGGAAGTGCCTAAATCCCCTACGGGGGTACGATCGTTTCTTGGTTTAACTAACTACTATAGGCGGTTCGTCAATAGCGGTACCCTAGACCAACTTGTTGCGAAATGAGCTAAAGTGGGAGTGGACGCCGGGGTGCCAAGCGGCCTTTGACACTTTAAAGGAGGCAATGACGAGAGAACCAGTACTCGTTCCTCCCGACTTCACCAAACCATTTGAGGTGATGACGGATGTCTCTGACCTCGCCGTTGGGGGAGTGTTTATGCAAGACGGACATCCGGTGGCTTACGAAAGCCACAAATTATCAGACGTGGAGAAATAGTGGCCGGCAAATGAGAAAGAGTTGCTCGCGGTCGTACATTGCTTGCGAGTATGGTAACACTACCTCAAGGCAGGCGCGCGTTTTACTATTGTGATGGATAACCAGACAGTAAGCTACTTCCAATCTCAAAAGAAGTTAACGGGTAAACAAGCGAGATGACTTGATTTTCTTGCAGAATTCAAGTTCGAGATTGAGTACCGACCCGGGAAAACTAACATGGTGGCAAACGCTTTGAGTTGGAAGGTGGTGGCTATCCATTCAGTGGAATGCGACATTTTAGATCGGATACGGGAAGGGCTTGTGCACGATGAGTTTTCTCATGCCGTGTTCGAGTTGGTGGAGGAGAGAAAGACAACGAAATACTCCTTGGAGGACGGGTTGGTTTTGACAAAAGGATATCGGATGTATATGCCGGATGCAGGGAGCCTTAGATGAGACATCCTACGAAAGTGTCATAATACAAAGTACGCGGGACACCGGGCAGCAACGAACTTTAGCATTGTCGCAGGAGCGATATTATTAGCCGAGGATGAAGGAAGATGTGGAGGAGTACGTCCGAACGTGTCTTGTGTGCCAACAAGATAAAGTCGAGAACCAACCACCGGTGGGGTTGCTCCAACCCTTGCCGATTCCGGAACGAATGTGGGAGAGTGTGTCCATGGACTACATCATCGGGTTGCCGAAGTCCAACGGATGCACAAGCATTTTGGTGGTGGTCAATCGGCTCTCAAAGTATGCCGAGTTCATTCTGGCACCAAAGAAGTGTACGGCAGAGGTATCGGATAAACTCTTCATGGAATACGTCGTTAAGTATTGGGGGCTACCGACAAGTATCGTGAGTGATCGAAACTCGAAATTCACCGGGCGATTTTGGACTGAGATGTTCCGCTTATTGGAGTTGGAGTTGAAAATGTCCATGACAATGCACCCACAAATGGAGTGAGTTAATCAAGTCTTGGAGGTGTACCTACGGCATTATGTGATGGTAAACTAGGTAGATTGGGCTAAACTACTCGATGTGGCACAATTTTTTTTTTAATTTGCAGAAAAATGAGAGTACCAGGAAGAGCCCGTTCGAGATCGTGCTTGGTTTCCAACCAATGACTCCGAAGGACTTGGTGGGGCATATAAAGGACCAAGCCCACCAGCGTTCCACTTTGCCAAGGGTTGGCAAGATCGGGCGGAGGCAGCGCGGCTATACTTAGAGAAGTCTCAAAGGCAGATGAAAAAATGTGCAAACCGGAAGTGAGTGTTCCGAGAATTCAAGGAAGGAAACTTAGTGTTGGTGAAACTCTACCAACACGGGCATGTGCAAGAGGTTGATGAGGTGTTACGAGGGCCCGTTCCCAATCATGAAGAAAGTAGGCGAGGTGGCATACAAGGTGGAGCTACCCGTTATTCCAACTTCACCCAGTATTCCATGTTAACATTCTCAAGCCTTGCTACATGGATGACCGAGACCCGAGTCAGAAAGTATCTACGAGAGCACCACCCGGGATGCAGAAAACATACGACAAAGTGGCCGAGGAGACATTGGCGGATCAACTAGTACGCCATAAGAACCATCAGCCTTTGACGAAATACTTGGTAAGATGGAGAGGATTGCCCGAGGTTGAGACGAGTTGGGAGCCGACGGAGAAACTTTGGCAATTTGAGGACTTAGTGCATGAGTTTGAGGCATTGAGGACAATGCCTTCATCAAGTGGCGGAGAATGTCGCGGACCGAGTCCGTGATTGACGATGACCGAGAGAATAAGCCAAAACCCGGAGGCTCACTTAGAGGAATCCGGAACCTTTTGGAACATTGTAGATAAAACTAGAACTTGTTCATTAATGAGGTAGATGGGGGTTGATTGTTGGTTGATGATAGATGGTAGTTGGGAGATAGTGGCTAATCTTAGCATCGGATCTATTCGATCTTGACCGTCCATTTCACAATGGACTTGTATAAATAGGTGCTTGTACTTCTTTTGTAAATCATCAAGTTGAGATAAATAACAAGTCTTTCCCTCATTACTTCTTCTCTCTACGATTTTTGAGTGTTCTTAATCGTGTTCTTGAAGGACTTTGAGGAAGGGTTGTACTAGCAACCTCTAAGTGTCTGGAAGTTGCTAGGCCACATAGAAGGTGTTCGAGGAACAACCAGATGGTCCGTGACACTGGTATGTTGTTTGCCCCTCAGGTGTAGGTGGCATGGCCGAAGCTGGTGTACCTGAGCCCCAAACCACTGCTACAACCGACAGAGCTGACCCCCATGGACCCAGAGGAGCAGAAGTTGCCCCCCAAGGCAAGTTCGGAGGTGGGGTGGATGCCCTCCAAGTCATCCCTGGAGCTTGAGGTGTTGAGGCTGTGGTCGCCATGCCCCCCAAGGGTCAGTAGTTCCTCCTCCGGCAGGGGCATTTTCTTGACCGTTTGTCCCCGCGGGTGACGTGGACGCGCTCATACCACCGAACAAAGGATTATTTTTTCATTGAGATGTCGGTGGTGCGTACCCGCTGCTCCCCCGATGTCCCTGATGTGGTGGTGCCCTTACGGTGGCTTGCCCCAAGGACCGCCAAGGTCCTTTAGCCACTGTCTTATCCGCGGGGTTATTGTTTTCGTTTCTTTTGCTCAGTACGGTTACGTTACCATACTGGAGCGTCGTTGCGGGATTCGTCGGGACATGCCCCCCCTATGCTGCCTTCGCTGGAGGAGCATTTTTATCATCTCCAGGGTTGGGCACTGGTGCTTTGCCCTTGCGCAGCTTCTCCTCTCTCGCCCACGTAATTTCATTTCGGATGGTGGACTTGAAAATATCGGCAAAATACCAAGAGAACGTTAATGTTGAGTCGCGAAGGGCATAATGGATTTCCCTAGGAATCTGATCTTGCAGAACGCTCGTAAGGATCGTAATCATCTTGTCCACGCCTCCCAGAGCTGTAGAGAACTTTACGGGGATGCGTGGGGCTAAAGTTTCACCAGCGATTTCATCTTTTTTTTACATCGTAACTTTCTCCGGCGATGGTAATTTGCGACTCCTCAGTTACATAAAAGTGCGAGACTCATCAGAGTCCCATTGGGCATGCCAATCTATTGTCGCTGAAATTCGTCGATGACGGCCCAAAGGGTTTAGGCCAGTCGAAATCGATAATAATCGGGTTCCCCGGCCTACTCAAGTAAGTATTCGGGCCTAGTCTCGCGATAAAAATTGACGTATGAACGGATCCAGATGAGACCGATTATAATAAAAAAATTGTAACTGAACGAATATGAAAAGATCGAACGAAATCGGATTCTACGGATGAAAAAAAAAATGACAAAATAAATTTGAAATTTTACTTTAGAAGGTTTGAAAGTTGAAAAAAAAAAGTAAAAGGAAATAATGCAATGCAGCAAAGGAAAAATAGGAACAAAAAAATTTATGAATAAAACAAAAATATATGTATATATATATAAAAGTGAAATGTGGTGTTATGTGTGTTTTTTTCTTCAATCTTATCTTTTTCTTTAATAGCTATGTGTGTGCTTTAGCCCATAATTTTCTCAACATCCCGCTATTTTAGGAACAAATATCTCCGCTTTCCGTTTGTTAATCCATTCTTCCTTATTTTTAGGAGTTCACTTTTCCACTTCATCCCTCTTTTCACTTCTTTCATGTAATCCTTGGACCGATCCAACTTTCATTTGTAGTGAGCCTCCAGGCTAGATTGGGCCACCTCGTTTGTTCGGCTTAAAATTATTTTGGAAATTACACTTATATTGCCTATTGTTTTTATATTATTTCAATTATGTAGCAGATAATATGTTAATAACTGTATTTGGATCTTCGAAATTTAAGTGTTAATATAATTGTCGTGATAGGTTAGATAAGTTGTATTTGGGCCTTAGTTTTAAATTGATTTTAAAATCAAGCCATGTCAATTTAATACAAAAAAAAAGTAATAATAATTAAATAGGCTACTGGAAGAGCAAAGTACTTCAAAAACCAATTATAGACGTCAAGTTGAATAGAATAGAATAGAAACTATTTTGAATATTACTGTAATTTTAGTTTGATTTGGAAGTATTTTATTTTAAATAGTTATGTGAGATGTAATTAATAGATAAAGATCGAATACTTCACATACTTTATATTGAAACTTAAGTTATGAATAAAATACTTGAGAGCAAAAGTAATGGCCTAAAATTAAATACTCATCTATTTAAACTGAAGTTTTTTTGCCAATGAAAAATCATAGTGACTTTATTTCAAAAGCCAAAAAATTGTGTCAGCACGGAGATATCCCGGTACAGGTGAACCCACTTCCATGCTATTAGAACAGGTGGATTTTTATTGAAGTCACTGCGCATGCATGTATGTGAAGTTGACTTGATGATAGATAAGTCAGCCAACAGAGGCTTTCTTTACCCAAAGCCAATATGCATGCTCTACCAAATATATGTCAATATTCCATATTTTATTAGTAATTCTTTGTACATCCCCATCGTATCACACTATAATCAAAAATTTAATGAAGGGTTTAAAATCTACTTCTGCAGTAACCAACTAATATGTATTTTATTTACACAATACTAGTAAATAGTAACATATATTCCCTAAGATAATATAAGGAATAAACTCATTATTTCTAAAGCCACAATTATTATCCCAATTAAATAAAATTCACTGGATTATGATCCATCCTATTCAATTATTTATTTATGTACATCATAATTAACTTATTACAACTCATTAGTATTATTTATGAACGCATACTATATATAAATTGCGTTGTAGTAGCAAAAACATCAATCCGAGAGAGAGAGAGAGAAGTCCTTGTTACCTGAAACTAAGATTTGAGGCCTTGGAGTGAGAGTAGTTCTTCGAGGGAGGCTCTGATATCGGCCGAGGTAAAGTCTTGTGCTTGTCGAGTGCGCGCAATGTTGGGGCTGTCGTAGTACACCACGTCGCCAAGACTGTAGCTTCGCTGGGCAGCATAGTTCACGCTGCTGCTGTCGCCGCTGCAAACTCCCGTCAGCACTACAGACTTATGGATGCCGCCGAGCAATCCTTCATAGTCCGTGTCTCCATTCTCCCCCACAAAAACCACCACTTTCGACAACTCCATACCCCATCGAAGATATATGTACCTACATTTCACATTTTCCATCTCACTCTCTAAAACCATATTCACAAAGCTATACAAATCCGAGAATAAATTACATCTCTATACCTGTGTTTAAATTTAAATGCATAGAATAGGAATTCCTGTGCACATGTATGTGTGTTTTGCTAACAACGATGTAAACTATACAACTATATTTTCAGAGTATTATATGAATTTTTTTAAGATCGATTTATATAGACATTTTGTAAAGTTTAAATGCTACTTATTAATAGTCATTTTTTAAAACATATTATGTCAAATTCCTATTTCTTCTTACAAAACATCACATCTGATACTCAATCTTTTACTGTTTACAAAATTTTCTAAAACTTCAAAAAGTTTCTACGTGGACAGAGTCTTAATTATACTTCGCTTTTAACGAGATATATGGGTTCCGTGTGTTATCGAAGGCATAGAAAGTAGTTGCTCATTGGGAAACTATTCGACAAGTAAAGAGCCAACACCATACTTGGAACAAACAAGGATCACAAGAGGTAGCATATCATCGCTCGCTAAGTACATATGTATAGATTCTACGAAGGAAATAAATTCATTCGAAATAGTTTATGTACGTACCTAAGAGCCTGGGAGCGAGACGACAGGACTGGAACTACTTTGATTTTACTTCCATCTTGGCAATACACAACGTGACATCGTAGCGCCTGAATTCTCATCTGTTTCCTCAACTCCTTTAAAGGGGGAACCTGAAATGCAAACAATCAAATTGTCAAGTGAAATATTAAAACAAACTGTATGAAAATGATAAAAATTTATGTTCATGTATGATGATTGTATTTGGCTTTGGAACGATGAAAAGAAGTAAAAGGGTGAAGGAAACAGATTCACCGATCCCGGCTTCAGAACTTTGAATGAATAGCAGTAGTCGGCTGAAGTCGCTTCATCTTCAACGACGATTTGTTCTTCCTTTCCGTCTCTGTTTTCTGTTATAGAGGCTGCCCATCGGACTAAAGTCTTCCTCAAACCTTCACCCCCCCAGCGATACTCGATATGTGAATGATAATACAGGTCGATCACAAATGGATTCTCTTCTGAATGTGGCGAAGAATAGTAAAGATCTCCCCCACTATTGCAAATGAATGCATCGAAATCAATAGGGCTCAATCTTTCAGAACTCAGAAACGAAAGAATCTCATTTATGTTAAAGGATGTTGCCAGGATAAATCCAACCGAGCCTTCAGCCATCTCCTTCTCTAAGGCGCCGAATATCTTTCTAATAACTTCAGAAAGTTCAGCATTAGCAGCACAATCCACGGCGATAACATACATGTTTTTCCTCCTCCTCAATGCTGGAAACTTACCAGCGCCTAAGTCTCCTTTATCTGTAGCAGATCCAGGTTTCGTAGCAGTCTTTGCGGCTAACTTGGATGACATTAAAACAGCAGTTTCTAGCTTACTCCTTCGGGTTTCAGAGTCAAAGGTAGAATCGGCATTTTCTATGCTCTCATTCTTGTCGCCATCGAATGAGAACTTCAAGTTTAAAGATAAATCATGTATATCTCTCAATGAATCACTTGGTGACTCCAATTCTGAATTTTCATCATCGTCGTCATTGTTCCTCAGCCAACTAGGTTGCCGCGGTTTGCACCCTGCTATCCTGGAGAGATATGTCTTACAATGTTCCGGCCATGAGAAAAGGTGAATATTCTTCAACCCATTTGCTCTACATTTTACCCAGAGATTCTTCTCAGCAACCAGCCTGAGAAGAGCATCAGCAATTGACTGCTGATCATGGGGATCGACAAGAAGACCGTTGTCTAAGACCTGCCATCAATACATAGGTATCGTTAATCTCTAAAAAAATGATATTAGAGCAAATACATAAATTACATAGAAAGAAATTCAAGAGATACTCTGTGTATGTCCACAGGGCCACCATTTTTTGTGGCAACAATTGGCAAGCCATGTGCCGCAGCCTGTAAATGAGAGAGAATAGGCATTGGTCACCAGAACAAAGATTTTAAAAATTTAAATTATGCATTTATGCGTTGCTTGAAGGCATACCTCGATCAGTGTAAGGCCAAAAGGCTCAATAAAAGCTGGATTTATGAAGACACCCTGTCATAAAGAATTAAGTTAACCAAAAGTAATATTCTCTTGATTAACTGAAACAACAGCTATAGGTAAAAAATTTTGTTCCTGCAGGCTCGACATTAGTGGATAATAAACCACATATGGTGCCAAATACATAGTTTTCCATAGGTTTTAGAGATATTATATAGGAAACTGCTCTCAGTATTAACAAACTTTTATAGAGGCTAGCCCACAAGATAGTTAAGCCTCACTGAATGGCTAAATTATATGCAAATATCTGAATTTGCTTAAGAAATATAGCCACTGTTCGTTTCACAACATTAGCAATCTCGTTGTCCTACACGCAGAGACACACACACATACAAAAAAAAGGGAATTTTGAAATACTTCTTAAAAGATACTCCCTAGAAAATTTCAAATTTATTACATTCACCAATTCATGCACTTTGCATCCTAGAGATTTTGCACCATCTAACCATTTATAATTTACACACACACATACACATTTATAAACCCTCAAATCTTTATATTCCATTTAAAAGCCACTGCACATTATTATTAGAAATTAACACAGATAATTTCAGAGGAAACAAACATTTTTCCTGAGATGAGCTAGGAAATTTGATGGATTTCAGAAACCACATTAAGGATAGGCTAGAGTCATTTTTAACATTCATTTGCAGAAGACCACGCTGCCAATAAGTGCTCAAAGGTCCCATGTTATTATTATTAAATGAAGTTGAGATAAACCTACTGCAATGTTACAATGCAAGTGTAGCAGTTAATTTGGTATCATATCTTCAAAATCATAAAATAAAAAAAATAATAATATTATTCATTTATATTTTTATTTTTATTTTTTGCAGAAGTAGAATCACTCTAAAAGACTACTATTTTTATCAAGTATTTTCAAAACTATAGGAAAAGAGAACATAAATTTATTAGTCTAAGGTTCCAGAAAAAAAACATCCAAGTCAAAAGTAAGTTGAATTTTCAATCCTATTAAAGGTTAATAAGTCCTTATCTATATATGCAACATATGATGGTACCTTTGTCTTTGCGGCAAGACGATAGATGTCAGGGACTTCTGATTGTTTATGATGTTTCGGATAAGCAACTTGACCGTAAAGATCATATTTATCGATCAGTTTAAGAATTGAAAGAAGAAGAGATGCATTCATGCCGGACATTTCGTCAATATTATCTCTGTTTCCCATTATTAAGGTCTGCAAGAAAGAGCAACTAAGAAGTTTGAAAAAGTGCAAGTCCTCACCAAATGAGTACACACAATATCTAAGTACATATTAAGATTACTTACAAGATTAGCAAGCTCCCTTAGCGGTCGGCATTCCCCAAATGCTTTGACCAATGTTGTCAGGTTCTTCTTTGGATCAGGCCTGGCTAGTGCAAGAATCATAGGCTTTCTAGGATTTTGAAAGAAACGCATTACCTGTGTTGACAAATAGGCATGTCTTGGTTATCAGAACAAGATACATTATAAGCAGTACTTTTAAATAAATATATGATATGTCAAAAAATTATGGTGTATGACATAGTTTAAGAGCGGGTCAAAATAAACTTTGTTTGTAAAGCCTTCCCGTATACATTGCAAAGAGCATTGTCCAACCTCTGCCCAAATAGGTGGATCAGGAGAACTCCCATCTTCATTTGCCTCTATTTCTGTGTCTATGTCTCCCTCATTTGGAACTATGTGATGAAATTCCATTCCAGGTGGTATAACCTACCAAAAAAAAACCTCATTGCACTTAATTGAACATCTATACATATTGAAATCTCATTGAGAAAAGGATAAAAGTTCAACAAAACCTGTGCATGTATTTTTGTGTGCGATGAACGACAAGCAACATAATGACACATCACAACTGTGTTCATGGCAGAAGAAACATATGACAATCTTACAGCTCTGACAAAATTCAGCTAACAAGCTAATCAACACACTAATAGCTTTCTGACTTTGGAAAATAGCATAGTTACCTCCGGCGGGAAGAATATGTGGACGTTTGGTCAAAATATAAAAGCCAAATTGAGCTGTACAAAACAATTCCGCTAATTGAATCATTTTTAACAGATAGAAATGTTTGTGCAACATACTCTAATAGGAATATAAAGGAATTTTGGAAAAGAACCTGGACTAGAAATTTAGATGAAAATTTAAGTTGTATAAGTGATAAATATACTCACAACAGTGCGTGGCATGAATCTTCCATAACAGCTCACATTTCGCTTGACCCTAGCACGTATTTTGCGTTCCAGAATTGGATCAAAAGCATCATACAAACGCCACTGCTCATCTATCTCCTGCCTTGTACTAGTAATAACCATTTCAGAAGCATCAAGGGATAATTCTTCTGCCTCTATTCTTCGAAAGATCTTATAAGTAGAATCAATCTCATCCCTCGACAACCGTCCTTGTCTCAAGAGTTGCTCCAGCTTATCACGGCCCAGTGAGTGGCCGGTGAAAAGCATTGGGACATTGAGAGCACCAGACAAAAGAGCAGCCGAGTCACCAGCATCAGCATAATGCCCGTGGATAGCAGCAGGCCAGACTGGATGTCCATTGCCAATTTGCTCACCAAGAACTTTTGACATCTGTATAATGTGGCTGAGAGCACCATCGACAAATTCAGGGATGTGGGGCCATAAAAGTTCTTTTGGAATATATTTTTCTCTTGGCCCAAAAGGAATACGAACTATGTAGGCACCACTACTCTCTCCCATTTCATCCATTAATCCCTCGGAATGAAGTGGAGGCAACATCTCTGTGGGTTCACCATAGCTCCAGTCTACATCAGGTGATGATACTTGTCTAGTGAACAGATCTACACGATATACACCTGGCATCGAACCTAAAGCCCTTGCCAGCTCAACAACATACTTTACCTAATTATAACATAAAAGAAAACAATATTTATACTAAAATAAAATCGTAGATTGTATCAAGTGACCAATTGAGTCACAAAAGTATCAGAAATCTAAATAAATATTACTAACAAGAAAAATTACTCCAGCAAAAGACAGTAGATATGAATTTCTTGGACAGAGACTTTACCTGCCCACCAGTATCAGAATCACGTCCAAGCTCCATGTTTTCACCTCGTATCAAACCATGAAGGCTGCAAGGGACTACTCATAAGAATGCAAGCAATTAAGTTCGATAGATATTTTAAACAGAATATATTCTCTGATATCTCAGGTTTTAAAATTCTGCATAATCATATAGAGGCATACATGTTTAATTATGGGTGTGAATTCTTACTTAATCAGAATGTGAAATAACAGCAGAAATAAATCAATAAATAGATCTTATAATACAAGTAATCAATAAAATAAAAAAGTGTGTGATCTTTACCAAGACAGGGAAAAATGGAAAAATGATATTTTTACCTTATCAACACAATATATAATTTTTTCCCCTTTTGTTGACTAGCCCAAGTCTCCAAAGCATCACCTGAACTAGTCCTTGGTAAGCGACCTTTGTTGCTTTCACAATGAGATGAAAGATCATTAACTACATCTCCTTTCTCTCCCTCGGATAGGTCTTCAGACATATCAGCAACAGCTTCTCTGTGGCCTCTTTCACGCTCAAGATGGCGTTTAGCGTTTCTCTGTGCCTCCTTTTCCTCAAGCTAAAGAATCCATCAAACAGGATATGTCGATTGTTTGATAAAACCTCAGTCATACAAATAGTTTACTGTAAATAAGTCATAGAACAAGCCCATGCCAATAACAATTATGTTAGATTTCAGCCTCTCCTTAAATGTGAATAAAGCACAAAAAGCATCAGCTATTTCTGAGAACATATTAACCCAGCATGAACTAACACCCAGAAAAAACTAATAAAAATAAAAATATGTTGTGTGCCATGTTGAAGAAAAATGCAAACTGGAACAAGTTAGATAAATTATGGACAGCTGAACTCTATGTCCAAGGCATTCAGGTCGTGGTAACACAGAATTATGAGGTTACTCAGATTAGTAATATTTTCTGTATTGCAAATGAAGATGAAGGCATAAAGAAATGAAGTTAGGCCAGTACAACAGGATATAAAGCTTTGAACCTTGTTATGCAAAAAGGTTATGCAAATGCATCAAGAAACTTCCTAGGTTATTTGCAAGAATTCTAATTTTGAAAATTATTTCACTTTAAAGTGACCTACCGTATGTAAAATTTGAAGGGAAGATATTTTCGCTATAGTTAGCAAAGATTAAAAATAAAAAAAAAAAAAAAAGAGAAAAAAACTATCAACAGTTAAGGTTTGGTGCAATTGATATATACTTCACACATATGCTTCGAAAGATTTCACTTTCCAAAGTCAGATATTGTTTGCTTTCGTTCACGAAGTACGAGAATATCAAACAATTATCGAAAAATAATAATTTTCCAACACATATGACATATAGCTAGACACTTCACTACTAGATTGGTCTATGAAAAGATCATCAGTGAGAAATGGAAGGTGAAAAGATGTTTTTGACAACTTCTTAAACCAAAGTCACCAAACACAGTTTTTTCCTCAATTGACAAAGGTACCATATCTTCTCTGTTGTCACTACAGAATCAAGAAAAAAGCAATTATTTTACATTAAAAACCCTTCTTTTACAGCCTCATCAATTTTTTTTATATCATCTTGCCTTTTCCTCCCTGGTCTCAAAATGTTAGGTAAGTTGAAATTGAAGAAGTTGAAGTGACAAACTCTCTTTGTAATGCCTAATATCTCATTCACCCAATTCTAAAATGAATTCCAATTCAGCTTAAAATTGCTAATATCAAGTACGACGAGCATAATCTGTAACAGGAAAATCACATTTCATTAGAACCTCAAAATTCTACCGAGCGCATAATCACATACTCCCGCACTTGAAAACAATCGTGAACATAAAAAACCTGCTTCTTCTGGCGAGCTAAATTCCATATCCGCCAACACATGTTCTCTAGTCTGGTGTTCCTCTCCTTAGTACCGCCAGTGGCTTGCGCCTGCGTATTCCCGCGCGCGCGCAAACGCTCATTAGAAAACCAAACCGATATTAGGAGGCAGAGAGAGAGAGTAGGAAGGCGTACATACTCTAACCCAGGAGCGATGCAAATCGGTCTCATCGAAGCCAGTAATGACCTCTTCGACAAAGTATCTGGTAGGACTGAACCTTCCCCTCTCCCGGAGAAGCAGGGAGGACTTGACCTCGTCGATACCAGGGCCGACGTCGAGAATGGCCTCGAGGTAGCTGTTAATCCAGTCGTTTCCAGCCATGGAAGCGTCAAACTCAAGTGTGTGTGGAGAAGAAAGGAAGGGATGGATAGAAGGTGATGAAGGGATGAATGAATGGAAGTGGTCGGTCGACACTCACTCCCTCCTCTCCTTTGCTTTCAGTAACCGCTCAACTCAAACCGACCACTCTCCATTTTTTCTATATATACAGAAAATATTATTAGTAAGAGAGATTTTGGGAATATTATTTCTTTATTTATTCATTGATATTTGGCCGTTTCCTTGCATGTGCTATTTAATTTTTTTCCTAACTGTTCAATTTTTAATACTTATACTACTTTCGTCCCTTCACAAATATAAGTATTTTTATTCTGAATTATTTAATAATTATTTTTAAAAATATTTTATTTTCCTTTTAAATACTTTTATTTTATTAACACATCATATTAAAAGAAAATAAAATAAAATTATTTTTATATTATTTTTAATTACTCATTTTAATTAAAATATTTATTATTGTTAAAGAAAATTGTCAAATGAATAAAGTACTAGTAAACAAAGCGAAACTAATTATTATTACTTATTATTATTATTATTATTATTTACTATTATTTGCTGGTGATATGGAAAGTAATTATTGCCGGGGGCAACGTGTCAACATCAAAAGCATTCAATATCAATAACAGAAATATAGTTTTATACACATAGACGTTGCATTCCCGTATACGTATATTAATATCGTCAACGGTTAGGTGCTGAATTGAAAAAATTAGCATCGTATAATTCAAATCAGCACATGTAATATATATAAATAATACATATTTTTTTATTATACACAACATATGTGCTGAAATCAATTAGTATTTGTGATGTATAAGACTATAGCATGTGATGTTAATTCATGTGTTATATTTATGTTGTTGGTTCATAATTACAAGTGTGTTGTATAACAGTACGTGGTGTGCTGAAATCAAGTATTGAATGTGTTGTATAAGACTATCGCATGTGCTCTTAGTTAGTGATGTTAGTTCATGTGTTGCGTTTGTATTATATGAATGCAGACGGTGTGTTGCCGATAGTAATTAGTGATGAAATAAAAGACAACACAAATTCATTCATATTATGTCTGATCTCTCAAAGTCTCTCTCTTTTATCACTCTATATTTATTAATAGTGCACTTACCTGTACATATATACACATACATTAATATTTATATTATACGTCTTACACACGTCTCGTCACGATATATATATACTTATTAAAATTATATTATTATTATTATGTAACACATGACGAAGACTCTTACCTATTTTATTTTGGTAAATTTTATTTTTATACTTTCTATATTATCTATTTTCTACCATATGGAAAATCTTGCAAAAAATTTTTATTAAACATTTCTCTCTCACCGGAAATAATTTTCTGACTTAGTCTCTGTGTGTCAAAATGCATCTGGTTTCTACGGACCTTGTTCATACAATTGTTAATGACTATGGCTACAAGCCAAGATCGGGCTAAGGCTATTATTTCATTCGTCACCATTTGGATATAAACACATATTTGCATCATTTTGATTGGCATCCATTTAACCTTCAAATATATAAAAATATAGTATTAATAATGGCAAACATAGATATTACAAAATACAGTATAAAAAAGTATAGACGTTAATTTAAATATTACAAAATATAAAATAGCATAATGTAAAATGACATAGTATGTCTATCACTGAGGGTTTGCTGGATCTATGGAAAAATCCGCTATATTAAGATGCGTTGTGTCGTAATTCAGAAGATCATCATCGGGGTCGTCATCATTATCAACGTGATTAATCTCGACATCCTTCCCCTTTTTCTGCAGTGAGGCTTGATAAAGATCAGCTAGGTGTTTGGCTATTCTATAGGTATTGGCCCAATGACCTTCAATGCCGCACTGATTACAAATGTCAATTTGCCTCTTTAGCCTTTTCGGCTCTATCCCCATATTGGGGTTTATTTTGCTTCATGTTAATGTCAAAACCGCGGTGATTGTAAGGGTTATATCGACTGCATTGACTCTCACAACCGCGACCACGTACTTGGCCTCGTTCATAAAATGTCACGTTGGCTTCAGGGAACGGACTAGAACCAGTGGGCGGGGACTGATGATTTTTCATCAGTAACTCATTATTTTTCTCAGCTAATAAAAGACATGCAATGATTTGTGAGTGCTTTTGAAATTTTTTCTCATGATACTACTGTTACAGAACAACATTAGAAGCATGGAAGGTAGAGACAGTCTTTTCCAATTTATTATTCTCAGTAATATTTTATCCGCAGAGTTTTAACTGAGATGCAATCTAATGGATAACAGAGCTGTAATCTGTAACAGTTTAAAAATTCTGTAACCGCAACCGCAAGTTAAGCGAATCATGTCGGGCTTTCGGGAGAGTAATATATTTCAAGTGTCCAAATCTATCCCTTAATTTATTCCACAAATCAAGTGAATCTTTCACCGTCAAATACAATGCAACAACACATACTATATTGAAACACGAAAAATATTTCTCCTATTTGAAAAAGGAAAAGATGAATGTCAATACAATAAGTGGCAGTGCAAAATTAATTGAAGACTCTCGAGAAGACATTATATTTCTCTCCGCAGGGACGAAAATTTTGATACAATACGCATTGTTGGCTCCTAAAGCTCGAAGAAATTTACTAAGCTTTCATGACATTCGAAAAAATGGTTATCACATTGAGACTATGAGTGATACCAATGGTGACTTTTTGTTGATCACCAATATCATTGATAAAAAGAAATGCATCATGGAGAGATTACCCTCACTCTCTACTGGTTTATATTATGTCATTGTTGAGTAAGAAAAAACCAATGTGCAGGGTTTTCGAGAATGGGCCTAGGGCTGTGGATTGGTGTATAGTTCAATTGGCCTATTAATGGCAGTGAGATCCTAAATGGGTCTGAATATAAGCCAAACGGCCCAAGTGTTATTAACAAATAGGTTTTTTTGGGAGAAACCTGTGATTAGGATATCGGTGAATACAGAAGTCGGACAAAAAGAAGACGGACGAAGAAAGATGAGGGCTGATACGGAAATCGAGCAAAAGAAAGTCGAGGAAAGAAAGATAAGATGGCAGACACGGAGGTCGGAAAAAAGGAAGTCGAGGGAAGAAAGATGATATGGCAGACACGGAGGTCGGACAAGTGGAAGGCGGACAAGAGGAGACGGTTAAGGGACAAGAGGAGACACGTAGCAGCAGGTGTGCCGGTCGGACGAAAAGCAGTTCTAAGACGGTTAAGGGAAGTTACAACCGACGAGCGGATCGGACAAGTGAAAGGGCGGTCAGTTGGTCGCTTGATTGGGCGATCGATTAAATCGTCTGGACGGATGATTGTTCAGCCGATTGAAGGGACTGGATGGTGGTTGCTTGATTGGGCGATCGATGAATCGTCTGGACGAATGGTTGTTCAGCCGTTTGAAGGGACTGAATAGTGGTCGCTTGAGTGGGCGACTAATTAGTCGTTTGGTCTAACGACCAGTTAGTATCTGGATTGGTCGGTTGGTCAATTGTTGGGTTATTCGGTAGGTTCAGTCGGTGGATGGTCCAAACGATTTCTCAGTCGGGTGGTGATTTATGATCCGTCTGAAAAGGCGAAGGTTGTTTTCAAAGTTATAGGGTCGAGCAAACGGTTGCTAAATATAAATGCGACCAAAGACAGTTTTTCAGACGGTTGTAAACACGAGGAGGTTTCTCTGTCAGTTATAACTGGTAGTGCACGATCTGATAACTGACTTAGAAGACATATAAGAGGGGGTCCGCAACTGGCAAAAACATCTTCAATCGACATCAAAATCAGTGAATTTCTTTTGGGGATCATCCTTTTACTTTTTCAGTCTATAGCATTTATTTCTTTTCTATTTTATTCATGTATCGTACGTTGTCTAGGGATTCTTAAATCTCAAGCATTTTATTTTATCAAATTCGAAGATAATCTCTATTTTTGGATTTTACTTTTTATTTTTGAAAATCAGCATCAACAGTCATATTAGGTGTTGTTGAAACACACCTCACGGTAGATCAAAAGACTACCATTTTCAAATATGATATAATCGCCTTGAGCATCCTCACGGTATTCATGGTCATTCATTAAAAAATAAAAAAGTGTTAAACTCAAATGAGTTAACTTGTGTTGCTTTTACTCAGAGAAAAATGATAACCAGGTCATTTCCAACTAAAGTAGGTATTGAATTACCAACATTTTTGGAAAGAATACACGGGGATATGTGTGGACCAATAGACCCACCATGTGGGTCATTTAAATATTTTATGGTGTTTATTGATGCATCTACCAGGTGGTCACATGTCTGTTTATTATCCACTCGTAATATGACATTTGCGAGATTGTTTGCCCATTTCGGCTTGGGGGCATGCAATCTTAAATGCAGGAACACTCATAAGAATGAGGCCGACAAACTATATGTGACACCCCGGCCCGCAAGCCACGCAAAGCCTAACTCTAGAGTTCTTTCAGTAGGACTTCCGAAAAAGAATGTGCGCATTGTTGACATGAGTAGTCTATTCAATTTATTTAACCTCTTATTCAACCTCGGGGGTATTTCATCCTCCCCGACTCATATCACTATTCAACTCCGGGGTATTACACTATCATTGCTATTACCTTATGCAACTAGTATATGTTCACGAACCAAATATATCTCATCTACGTATTTTTGGGTGTGTTGTTTATGTATTTCACCCCTCCAAATGTACAAAAATGCGTCCTCAACGTAGATTGAATATTTATGTCGGATATGAATTGCCGTCAATTATAAAATATCTTGAACCTATGACGGGTGATTTATTCACTGCAAGATTTGCAGATTGTCATTTTGACGAATCATATTTTTCGACATTAGGGGGAGATAGAAATGAACTGAAAAGAGACATTAATTGGAAAATCCCATTCAATTTTTATGATCCACATACAAAGCAATGTGAACTAAAATTTTAGTGCATTATACATTTGCAAAATATTGCAAATCAGTTATCGGATGTTTTCAATGACTCGAGCAAAGTCACACGATCATATATCCAAGTTGCTAATGCTCCGACTAAAATAATTGTCGTTGGTGGACAAGTTGCAAGTGCTAATGAATCAGCGATACACTTAAAGCATGGTAGACC